TAGGGCGTGGTCGTACAGTGAGATATCTTCCTTGGCAGTGAGCTGTAGGAACAGGTGCAGGTCATCTAGCCAGGTTTCGAACTTCACTGGACGGCCCTCGTAATCGAAAGGTAGAACTGGAGGACTAGCCATAGTGACAGTAGCAGTAGCAGTAGTAGCAGTAGTAACAGTAGTAGTAGGAATCAGGCCGCTGGAAAGGTGTGCGGAGGGTCAACGGGGCCGGCGGGGCCGCTAGGCAAGGCGCGGGCGGGGTCGACTGTCCGTAGTGGCACACGAGCGGCAGTAGTAGGTAGCGTGGCAGCAGGAGCTGCAACGGCGCACTGGTGGCAGCTGCAGTGGCAGCAGTGTGCGCGGTAGGTAGAAAATAAACAACAGTGAGAGCGAGTGCCTCGCGGGCGGCGGCTGCAGAAGCGCACGGGCGGCAGCGGCGCACGGGCAGCGGCAGCGCACGGGCAGCGGCAGCGTAGGGGCAGCGACGGCGCACGGGCAGCGGCGGCGCACAGGCAGCGGCGGCGCTCGGGAGGCAGCGGTGCGCAAGCAGCAGCGGAAGCAGCGGCGTACGAGCGGCTGCGGGCAGCGGGGCGTGCGCGAGCAGGCGACGGGCGGCTGCGGGGCGTGCGCGAGCAGGCGACGGGCGGCTGCGGGCGGGCGGCCGCTGCGACGGCGGGCTGCGGGCCTGCGGGGCGTGCGCGAGCAGGCGACGGGCGGCTGCGGGGCGTGCGCGAGCAGGCGACGGGCGGCTGCGGGGCGTGCGCGAGCAGGCTACGAGCGGCTGCGGGGCGTGCGCTAGCAGGCGACGGGCGGCTGCGGGGCGTGCGCGAGCAGGCGACGGGCGGCTGCGGGGCGTGCGCGAGTAGGCGACGGGCCGCGCGCGAGGGAAATAAGGCGCGCGCGGGCAGCAGGCGGGGCGCACGTATGAAAACGACCGCGCGCGAGCGGCTAAGGGGCGGCGCGACGGGGCCTTAAGGGGCGGGTCGCGGGTCGCGAGATGTATTGGCCGTTAAAAAAAAATTCGAGGCGCCCTAGGTAGGTAGGTAGGTAGGTAGGGAACGGTGGGCCCTTAAAAAAAACGGTCCTAGCGAAGGACCTGCTCTGAAACCATGTCAACGAGAACGGACTGGAATGATGGACTAGCAAGGATGGTGAGTACAAATATGAAACCCTAATGTTGTGACCCCCCTATAGGCTAACCCACTACAGCCTACACAAATACAACATGTATAATGTTTGACACAGTGACGTAACTCGCGGGGAGAAAACGTGGGCGCAGTTTCGGGCAGACCTCATCGAAAGATTTGAGCCGGTAAATTCGACACATGCGGCAGCAGATACACCGACATAAACAGTACCGGAGTGTAGCATAGTAGATGCAGCAGATGGAACAATTTTTCCAACGCATCATCGACCTGACCGAATGTGAAAAAATCAAGGCATACACCGAGGGGTTGAAGATGAAGATTCGCTGACAGGTCATTGCCGCGAACTACAGTAGCTACCGCGACATCGTGCGTGCAGCCAAAAGATACAACGCATTCATGCACGGTCAACTTTGACGTCACGTGCTGAACCAATCATTCGGCACGGAACGATCGGCACCCCCACGTTTGCCGAACCGATGAATATCGAAAATATTGATGTGAAGCAGCCGCCGACAAAATGCGGATTTTTGTGCGGCGCAGCCGGACACCAAATCTTGTCGTGCTAAAAAATGAAAAAGCACGTAAGGAAATTGCCGAGGCGAATGGAGAGTCCGCGAAAAAAGACTCTGCACTAACCGGAAACTCCAGTCGAACACCCACGAAAGTAAGAATTCGTTAAAGTTATCCTATAAAGATACTTCAACAAAGAATTTTATTTCTCATGGTTTTTAAGCCTTTAAAAAATTCAGGGGAGAATTAGAGGCCAATTAAAAGCCTTTAGAAATTATTCAGGTACCTGAGAAGTTGGGCAAAGTACTACGGAGCGTAGAAAAGGGTCGTGCGTTCCGTAGAATTAATATCCTCTCCCCGCAGCATCATGTTAAGGCTCCCCATTGCCCACAGGTGAAGCCTACACAGTCGCAAAGGCTTAGAGGGAAATTCCAGGCTCATGAGAAGTCGTACAAGCCTCGAAAAATCCTCCTACCCCCCCAGGCGAAGCTGGAAGTAAAAAGTGCTGAGTCATGTATAGGAAATAGGGAAGGTGATTAACCTTCTAATCCTATTAATGAAACCCTCTTTGGCTATCCAGCACAACAAAAACCACTACTTCTCGAGGTGTTATATAAGGGACGATGCCTTCAGGCACCGATGGATAACGGTGCATCTCACTCGGTGTGCGACCGCGGAACATTGGAGAAACTTGGCGAGAAGGCAAAGAAGGCCCAGTGTTCAGCAACAATGGTGGACGGCATGAAGCTTCCCATCCACGGCGAAGCATCACTGCAGCTGCACATATTGGCGTTGAGATGGAAGCCAACATTGTCGATCACAAACATCAAGAGTTTCGATTTCATCTTGGGGCGAGATTTCCTGAAGCGGTTCAACCCCGAAATTAACTGGGTCAATTGGAAGGCGTGCATCTACAACAACGGGAAACGAGTGGAGCTGAGAAGCTGGACGGATACAGGGGACGTTAGTGAAACATCACTAGCACGGTTTGAACGGACGGCGAACGAGAGTAACACGTGTTACTTAGCACTGGTTATGGTAGCAGAAGAGGAGAAGAAGCTGAGTTTGGAGCTACCTGTAGCGGTTCGGAGCTACTTGCAGCAGTACAAAAACATCAAGCCAGATGACCTATTAGTGGGCGTACCTCCAGCACGCACCCAAGCGCACGAGATCGTGGAAGAACCAGGTGCGAAACCCGTCTCACGTGCACCATACCGGCCGAGTCCAACAGAACTGACAGATATGAAGAACAGATCGAATATCTACTAGACAGACAACTAATCCGCCCATCCACCTCTCCCTACGGTGCACCTCTTCACTCCAGAACCAGATGGCAGTCTACGGATGTGCATCGAGTTCCGCACACTAAACAAATAGACAATAAAAAATAAATACCCCATTCCACATATAGACAATATTCTTGATCAACTGTGTGGTGCAACTGTCTTTTCGAAGCTGGACCTACGGTCAGGTTACTGGCAGATCAAGATGGCGGACAACTCGATCCACAAGACAGCGTTCCGTACCAGATATGGCTCCTACCAGTACTTATTGATGTCGTTCGGACTCTGCAACTCACTAGCTACGTTCCAGGCGGAGATGAACCTTATCCTACAGCCCCAACTGGACGAGTGCGTGGTGGTGTATCTGGACGATGTCCTCATCCGCTCCAAGAATATGAAGGAGCACGTGGAGCATTTGCGGAAGGTGTTCGAGATCCTGCGGAAAAATAAGTTCTACGTAAAAGTTGTCGAGCACATGGTGAGTGCGGAGGGCGTACACGTGGACCCGCGGAAGATCGAAGTTGTAAAAAGTGGAAAGTCCCGGAGAACGTGAAGGAGTTGCAGCAGTTCCTAGGCTTCGCTAACCACTACAACAGGTTTGTGCCGCAGTATGCTAAGATAGCGGTGCCACTGACCAACCTACCGAAAAAGGATGCGCCCTTCAAATGAGATACTCCTCATCAGCAAGCCATGGAGCAGCTACAGACAGCACTGACTACAGCGCCAGTACTCATCCTACCAGTCCTAGACAAGGACTATGTGGTGGGAGCAGATGCTAGTGACCAAGAAGTCGGAGCAGTACTGATGCAGGATCACAGACGCGGTTTGCAGTCCGTCGCGTACCCTAGTAAAAAACTACAGAGAGCAGAACAAAACTACCCCATCCATGACACAGAAGCCTTAGCGATAGTCACAGTCTTCAAGGCATGGAGGTGTTACATAGAGGGAGCCAAGACTACAGTTTACACTGACCTTTGCAGCCTCAAATACCTGAAGTTAGCAGTAAGATTTCAGTGGGAGAAAGACTTAGCAGTAAGGAAGGGCACAGGAAAGATTTGGGCACCGAACTACGCTCCACTTCGACAGATCCTACTGGAGGAGTTTCACGACGTACCATACGCGGGACATTTCGGGAGCAACAAGACGTTAGCAGGGATTCGTCACCTCATGCGACACATGCCAGCGGATGAAGAGTAGCAAGTAGAAAAAAGCAGGGTTATTTCAGCCTTTACCCGTACCGGAGCAGCCATGGCAAGTCGTTAGGGCGTGTTACAGTTTTGGCCTTACGTCGTCCGGTCCATAGACCGTCCGAACAATTTGCTGGTAACTAGATTCGCGTGTTTTCGCATGGCATTTCGCATATCGGCCTGCGACGTCGCATGCGTCTGTACCGAGGATGGAACTATTTCAGTGCTCCCCGCAGAGACGTTGGTCCGGATGCATGCTGTCCGTCAGATGGACAGGCAAAACGAACCGCGTGTTGATTGGCAGGCGAAATTCTGAAACGAAAATGGAATCCGCCAATCAGCTGTCTAGCCGCTCAAAACCAATCACGCGATGCACAGATCGCCGAGGCGCATTTCAATTGACAATCCAGTGCCTCAACTGAGGCCACCAGAGTGACTGATTCAGGAGGAAAAAATCCAGCGTGGCACATTTTCGGCCAAGAAGTTCCTCCAAGATCCACGGGACACCCAACTCTTGGTTGGCGCAATTTTCTCGAAGCATCACATGAGAGAGACATAGCCGAGGTGCATTTCCAACAACATTCGAACGAAACAATGTGAATCCACTACAAAAAAGGCATCAATCTGGACGACAACATCATAGGCAACGATGGATTTCTCTAGCGTGGGTGACAACTCCCAACCTTCCCCCGACAACCAAGCTACTCCTACTGACAATGCACCTGCTGTTGGCGCCAACATCCCAGAAACGCAGGAGTCCTAGCATGCTCAAGATGCGCTCGCGGCTCAACCTCTAGCAGGTGCCACGGCCCAGAACCCTATCGACATCACCGACCCTACTTGGTGGGGTAATAACATCCGCTCTCCTAGTGACGCCTATGATGACACGGAGGACTACGGAATCGGTGAAGAAGTGGCAGACGGTCCTCCGCCTCCCGGACAGGAAGAGGAACTTCACGGTGGTGAAGTCACGCGCACTACCAACGCGCCTGCTAGCACCTCTCGCCGCTCTGACGGCAAGACCATAATCCGATGGTCTCCGGAAGAGGAATGGGACCTGCTGCAGGCCTTCTACGATAATCAGCAGGAAATCGAGAGGAGGACCGGGCAGCAGGGCAGGAGCTGGTATACGTTCCTGCAAGACGAACTCAGGCGCCGTCACCCCGCATGGCGTCACGACTACGCCGCCATCAAAGCTAAGCTCCACCGCCTGAAGGACACGTGGAGGCGTTGGAAGGACCGCGGCTTCAACCGGTCTGGCGGCGGTCGTCCCCGTGGTCTGCCGGCATGGTACGACCTGGCTGACGAGATTTGGCTGAGCGCCCCGCGGCGGTCCCCCCTGTCCTTGCCGGGACTGGTCTCCCTATGCCTGGTGCTGATGCTCCACCTGCTGCGCATCGTCCCTTCCCCCCAGTCGCCGTTCCACCAGGGCCGGCCGCTTCAGCTCCACCTCGCCCCGCGGCGTCCAACGGAACTTCCCTGACCACGGCATCTCGTCCACCAGCGGCTTCTGCGCCTGCTGTGGTCCCCCCCACTACTTTATCCCCTTCAAGCCCTACTCTACCCCGCACTGGAGTGACACTCGCGCCGCCGCCCGCATCGGTTACTCCTCCCCCCGTCAGCACTCCTCTGTCGCCCGATAGCATTCCACGCCCAGCTGCGCCTACTCCACCTGCGGTGCTTGAACCCGGCATCTCCGAATCAGACGTCTCCAATGCGATGGCGGGTATGTCCATGCACGGGCGACGTCTCACTGGGGGAACGCGCACGACGACTGATGGGCAGGAGGGGTGCTCGCGACACGCTTGGTATCAGTACCCGAGGAACACACGTGACAAAAACGACAATGCTGGAAAGGGCGGAAGCAGCAGGCAGGGTCGCAAAGCAGCATCCAAGAAGAAGATGGTTGATCTCGGGGAGGTGGCCAACAACATCACCGCAACCTTCGACAAGAGGCAAGACAAGCAGTGGGAGGAGTTCAAGCTACTTACCCGGGAGGTGGCTCAGTCGTTCCGTGACGCGTGACGAGCCAGGAGGCGTAGATCGCCGCAGTCCACCTCCTCATCCGAAGACGAGGAGAGAAGCCCGGCACCTCAGGACCGGTAAGTCTAAGACTCGCGGCGGGTCCGCGTAACCACCATCGGTTGCGCTCACGCGGAGGTCCTAAACGCTCGCGCGCGCCGATGGTTAGCTCTATGTTGTGCAAGGCAACGCAAGAGCTAACTACCTCTGGCACTAGCCGAGAGTGGCACTCCATCCTCGCATCCAATATCCGCCATTTCCCCTTTAACCTTCCGTTTACCTGCTCTACAATCATCCGCTGCCGAGATTGCTGCGTGTTCCACTTGTCATGTGCTTCTGGCAGGGAGTGACCCGCTCGAGCTCGGTAAGGGACGCATGTGTAGCTCCTAAGGCCGTACGCCGCGTCGCACACCAACATGTAATCGCCAATCTCGCATGCCTCGATACGAGCGCGCGCGGGGGAGTTGGCAAAAACACGAGCATCATTCACGCTCCCGGGGTAGCCTACGAAGTAGTCCCAAATTATGCCGTTAGAGTCACACACTAGTTGCAGGATAATCGAGAAGAACCCCTTGCGGTTTTTGAAGTCGTCCTTGTGTCTGCCGAAGCCGCGGCATTCGATGTAGGTGCCGTCTAGGGCGCCTACTATTCCCGGTATCCCCCCTTCAATGCGAAAATCTTCTGCCATCTCTGCTAGTTGTTCTTGTGTAGGCCAGGTTACCCATAGTGGAAGCAGATCTTGTGTCAGGAACTTGATAAATGCACGAATAATTCTCATGGCGTGTGGGGGAGTGACGCCGAACTGAAGGCCTACCTGACGGTACGTAGCTCCCGTTCCTAGATGAACTAGCGCCATGGCTACGGCCGTCTCTACAGGGACCTGCCTCTTACGGTCTCCACGCTTCCGCACCCAAGCGTCGGCCAAATACTCGAACACGTCTCTGTTAACTCGGAAAGTCTCTTGGAAAATCTGGTGAGGCATATCAAACAACAATGACTCCCAGCGGTCACGCTGGTTATTCCTGTCCTCTTGCATGATTTGACGAGCTTCGGTACTAGAGGCAATCTCGGCAAGCACTGGAAGAGTCGCCACAAGCAGCTCATGGTTGGCACGCACAAAGAACTGCTGGTAGCCACGGTATAGCAGGCCCATCACTCTAAGAAAGTCCCTAGTAGACATGGTGGTGGAACAACAATGAAAGAGAGTTGAGTTCTGTGCATGCTTTGTATGAAGGCGTCGTGGGTTCGGAGGAATTGTCCGTGAAACAGGAGTGGCAAGCACTCGAGTTGCCGAGGCGCAAATTTGTGGTGGGCGAAAATTGCGACCATGCGGGTACTGTGTTACGGAGTGTTCACAATTTCGAATTTCGAAACTCAAAATTGTTCCACTTCCAGACGTTCGGACGAGGCTTGTTCCGGACGTGAGCCTCGGACAGCCCGTACGAGATGATCCGTACCTTTTCCGGAGCTTCGTCCAGACAAAAAGGCCTCGGAGAAAACGTAACACGCCCTTAGCCTCGACTTCATCACGAGACTTCCTTCGACCTCACGAAGGCATGACGATGCTGGACGAGCAAATGAAGCACGAAGAGAAGATGTGGCTACAACAACAGCATTAGCAGCAGCCATTCCTGTCGCTTCCACTAGACCAAGTACTCTTTCAGCAATAAGATCAGCAAAAGAGACCGTATCAGCAGCTCTCCTCCGTACAATACAAGGTACTTATGTCAAACATTATATATGTTGCGCTTGTTAGGCTACAGTGGGTTAGCCTATATGGGGTACAGAATTCTAGGGTTTGCTATTTGTACTGATTTCTCTGTTAGTTCAATCATTCCAGTCTCGTAATCTTGACATGGTTTCAGAGCAGGTCCTTCCCTAGGACCGTTCTTAAGGGCCCACCGTACGATACCTACCTACCTACCTACCGGAGCGCGTTCTTAGCGTCTCCCCCGTAGCGCCCTCGCGAGCGTTACCTTTTTTTTCTCCCGGCCCCGCTGGCCCCGTCGATTGCGATCGCACCTACCGGCCCCGTTGGCCCTCTAGCGAACCGCCCGCGAACCGCCCGCGAACCGCCCGCGCGGCCTGCGCGCCGCCCGCGAACCGCCCGCGAACCGCCCGCGCGGCCTGCGCGCCGCCCGCGAACCGCCCGCGAACCGCCCGCGCGGCCTGCGAACCGCCCGCGAACTGCCCGCGAACCGCCCGCGCGGCCTGCACGCCGCCCGCGAACCGCCCGCTACCTGCTTGCGCGGCCCGCACGCAGCCTGCTGCCGGCCCGCCGCTGCCGCTCGTGCGCACCCGCAGCCGCCGCCGCACGCACCCGCTGCCGGCCCGCCGCTGCCGCCCGTACGCACCCGCAGCCGCCGCCGCACGCACCCGCTACCGGCCCGCCGCTGCCGCCCGTGCGCACCCGCAGCTGCCGCCGCACGCCCTCGCCTGCCGGCCCGCCGCTGCCGCCCGTGCGCACCCGCAGCCGCCGCCGCACGCCCTCGCTGCCAGCCGCCACTACTGACTGTCCGCACCTGCAGCCGCCACCGCTCACCGTTACTGCCGGCCTACCACCGCAGCCCGTGCGCCCCTGCGACTCCTGCTAGTGCGTCTTTACAGCTACAGCGGCCCTACTCTGTCTACTACTGCTGCTACTGCTACTATCGCTATGGCTAGCCCTCCCGTTCTAGCTTTCGACGCCGAGGGCCGTCCAGTGAAGTTCGAAACCTGGCTCGATGACCTGCACCTGTTCCTACAGCTCACGGCCAAGGAGGATATTTCTCTGTACGACCATGCTCTCGGCCACGCTACTGCCCCTCTTACTACTGCTCCCCCCACTGAGCGCTCACAGTGGCAGACACGTGACGCGCACGCTCGCTTCGCCATACGCAACTCCCTGCCGCTAGATGAGCGCGAGCACTTCGGCCAGTGCAAGACTGCTAAGGAACTGTACACCGCTGTCGTTGCCCGCTACTCCTCACCCGCTTCTGCCACGCTAGGCCGCCTCACTCTCCCCTACCTGTTCCCCGACCTGGCCTCCTTTCACACTGTCGCAGACCTCATCACCCACCTTAAGACTAGTGAGGCCCGCTTTCGCGCTGCCATGCCTGACGAGTTCCTCGCTAGCAACCCCCCCCCGCTCTGGATCACTCTCTACCACATTGTCACCCGCCTCCCTGACTCTCTGCGCGCAGTCAGGGACCACTTCCTCTCTCGCTCCCCCACCGAGCTCACCGTAGCCCTCCTCGAGAAGGAACTGCTTGCAGCTGAGGCCAGTATCGTCGCTGTAGGCACCTCTCGTGGCGACCCCCGCACCCCGTTCTTTGAGGGGTGTTCCCCTTCCCCCCTCCTCCCCTCTGTCGCCTCTGCTGCTGCTGTCGACCTTCTTGGTGCTGAGAAGGTCGGGACCGCGTCTGCTTCGAGCGGGCGCCGCAGGAACAAGGGGGGCAGGGGTGGGGGTGGCGGCGGAGGAGGTGGGGGTGGAGGCGGTGGGAGTGGAGGCGCGGCTGGGGAGACTAGTGGCGGCAGTGGGGGAGGAGACAGCAGCGGTGGGAGTGGTGGTGGAGGCAGCAGCGGAGGCGGAGGTGGTCGTGGCGGCGGCAGGGGTGGAGGTGGCCGGGGCGGCGGCGGTGGGGGTGGTGGTCGTGGAGGCACTGGCGGAGGCCCGAGTCAGCAGCCCGCCCCGACGCTTCAGGCCGCCCGTGAGTGGTATGCGCAGCGTAGCGTTACCTGCACGTACGTCATTCGCACAGGTGACCGCAGCGGCCAGCAGTGTGGGAGGCCGCACCCCACGCAGCGCTGCTTCGCGCGCCTTAACGACGCGTGGCGCACTCAGTTTCCTACTGCCACTGAGCTGCCGCGCTGGGCTGATCTGGAAAAGAGGGGTGTTGATATTTGGGCTTTATATTTTGATGCTATTCTCACTGCCATGTATGCGATGTCTATTAGTGGAGAGGGTGCTCAGTACTTGCGTGTTCCGCCCGACCCGGGCATTCAGGCCAGTCCGGCTGCCGCTCTAGGTGCTAGTGCGTCTGCTCCCACAGGTCCTGGTGAGGCCGCTGCCCTAGGTGCTCGTGCGTCCGTGCCCCCTGGTACTGAGTCGACTGCAGCACTGCACACCTTCACACTGGACTCAGGTGCTTCTCGCTCCTTCTTTCGTGATCGCACTGTTTTTGAGCCACTCGCTCGGCCAGTTGCTGTCTCCCTTGCTGACCCCTCTGGGGGTCCGGTCATTGCGACCTCCTCCACTGTCCTTCCTTGTCCGGCGGTCCCGTCCGGCACGCTGTCAGGTCTCTACCTCCCCTCGTTCTCTACGAACTTGGTGGCAGGTAGTGCGCTCCAGGACGGGGGTGTTCACCAGTTCACCCCTGCCTACGAGCGCGTGACACACTGCACGTGTGCTCGGACGGGTCGCCACCTGGCTACCTTCACTCGAGAGCCGGGGTCGGACCTGTACACACTGACCACTGAGTCCCCTCAGGTAGCTGCGTCCGCGTCTGCGTCTGCGTCAGGTCAGCTGTCCGCCCCCTGCTCGTGTCGCTCTCTGGCGCATGAGACTGTCCTTTGGCACCACCGCCTTGGTCACCCGTCTGTGCAGCGCCTTCGGGCTATGCACAAACGGGACCTTGTTGCTGGTCTTCCCAGGGTGCTTCCTCCCCTTCCCGACTCGCCTGCTCCTCCCTGTATTCCCTGTGTCGAGGGACGGCAGCGCGCCGCTCCTCACTCCTCCTCCTTTCCCCCGACGACTGCTCCCTTGCAGACGCTCCACATGGACGTGTGGGGCCCAGCCCGCGTCCGTGGTCAGGGCCAGGAGAGGTACTTCCTGATTGTTGTTGACGACTTCTCGCGCTACACCACGGTCTTCCCCTTGCGCGCCAAGGGTGACGTCCCTGATGTCTTGATCCCTTGGATCCGCAGATCTCGTCGCCAGCTCCGTGAGCGTTTCCGCTCCGACTTCCCTGTCCTGCGTCTGCACTCTGACAGAGGTGGGGAGTTCTCCTCTGGCCTATTGGAGG